TTAAATACACAGGGAGGAGTAATTAGGGAAAATGGCAGCAGGTGTGTGGGGTGAGGGCTGGAGGGAAGACAGGCGACAATAATTTATCTAAATGGGGAAACAGGACCAAAGGAGGACAGATAAACCTTCGTCTTCGTCTTCTTCGTCTTCGTCTTCCTCCGCTTATCCGGGTCCGGGTCGCGGGGGCAGCATCCCAATTAGGGAGCTCCAGGCCGTCCTCTCCCCGGCCTTGTCCACCAGCTCCTCCGGCAGGACCCCAAGGCGTTCCTGGACCAGATTGGAGATGTAACCTCTCCAACGTGTCCTGGGTCGACCCGGGGGCCTTCTGCCGGCAGGACATGCCCGAAACACCTCCCCGGGGAGGCGTCCAGGAGGCATCCTGACCAGATGCCCAAACCACCTCAACTGGCTCCTTTCGATCCGGAGGAGCAGCGGTTCTACTCCGAGTCCCTCCCGAATGTCCGAGCTCCTCACCCTATCTCTAAGGCTGAGCCCGGCCACCCTACGGAGGAAACTCATTTCGGCCGCTTGTATCCGCGATCTCGTTCTTTCGGTCATTACCCAAAGCTCATGACCATAGGTGAGGATTGGGACGTAGATCGACCGGTAAATCGAGAGCCTGGCTTTCTGGCTCAGCTCCCTCTTCCCCACGACAGATCGGCTCAGCGTCCGCATCACTGCAGACGCCGAACCAATCCGCCTGTCGATCTCCCGATCCCTCCTACCCTCACTCGTGAACAAGACCCCGAGATACTTAAACTCCTCCACTTGAGGTAGGACCTCTCCCCCGACCCGGAGGTGGCAAGCCACCCTTTTCCGGTCGAGAACCATGGTCTCAGATTTGGAGGTGCTGATCCTCATCCCAGCCGCTTCACATTCGGCCGCGAACCTACCCAGCAAGAGCTGAAGGTCAGAGCTGGATGAAGCTAGGAGGACCACATCATCCGCAAAAAGCAGAGACGAGATTCTCCTGCCACCAAACTCGACACACTCCACACCATGGCTGCGTCTAGAAATTTTGTCCATAAAAGTGATGAACAGAACTGGTGACAAAGGGCAGCCCTGGCGGAGTCCAACCCTCACTGGGAACAGGTCCGACTTACTACCGGCTATGCGGACCAAACTCACGCTCCTCTGGTAAAGGGACTGAATGGCCCTTAACAGAAAGCCACCCACCCCATACTCCTGGAGCGTCCCCCACAGGGTGCCCCTGGGGACACGGTCATAAGCCTTCTCCAAATCCACAAAGCACATGTGGATTGGTTGGGCAAACTCCCATGCCCCCTCCATCACCCTTGCAAGGGTATAGAGCTGATCCGCAGTTCCACGGCCAGGACGAAAACCACATTGCTCCTCCTCTATCTGAGATTCAACTATCGATCGGACCCTCCTCTCCAGTACCTTGGCGTAGACCTTTCCAGGGAGGCTGAGGAGTGTGATCCCCCTATATTTGGAACACACCCTCAGGTCACCCTTCTTAAAGATGGGGACCACCACCCCGGTCTGCCACTCCCTAGGAACTGCCCCCGATGACCACGCAATGTTGTAGAGACGTGTCAACCATGACAGCCCTACAACATCCATAGCCTTGAGATACCCAGGACGAACCTCATCCGCCCCCGGGGCTCCGCCGCTGTGTAGTTGTTTGACTACCTCAGCAACTTCTGCCCCCGAGATCGGACAGTCCATCCCCAGGCCTCCCAGCTCTGGTTCCTCCTCGGAATGCGCATTGGTGGGATTGAGGAGCTCCTCAAAGTATTCCTTCCACCGTCTGACTATAGCCTCAGTTGATGTCAGCAGCTCCCCATCCCCACTGTAAACAGTGTGAGCGAGTTGCTGCCTTCCTCTCCTGAGGCGCCGGACAGTTTGCCAGAACCTCTTTGGAGCCGATCGATAGTCTTTCTCCATGGCCTCATCAAACTCCTCCCACGCCCGAGATTTTGCCTCGGCAACTGCCACTGCTGCACCCCACTTGGCTATCCGGTACCTGTCTGCTGCCTCCGGAGACCCACAGACCAGCCACGCCCTGTAGGCCTCCTTCTTCAGCCTGACGGCTCCCCGAACCTCTGGTGTCCACCAGCGGGTACGGGGGTTGCCACCACGACTGGCACCGGCCACCTTACGACCACAGCTAGCAACAGCCGCCTCGACAATCGCAGAGTGGAACAAGGCCCACTCGGACTCAATGTCCAACACTGCTCTCGGGACGTGGTCAAAGCTCTGCCGGAGGTGGGAGTTGAAGACCGTCTTGACAGGTTCTTCTGCCAGACGTTCCCAGCAGACCCTCACTATGCGTTTGGGTCTGCCAGGTCTACGCGGCATGTTCCCTTGCCATCTGATCCAACTCACCACCAGGTGGTGATCAGTTGACAGCTCCGCCCCTCTCTTCACTCGGGTGTCCAAAACATACGGCCACAGGTCAGATGATACGACTACAAAATCTATCATCGACCTGTGACCTAGGCTGCCCTGGTACCAAGTGTACCGGTGGGCATCCTTATGTTCGAACATGGTGTTCGTTATGGCCAAACTGCGGCTTGCACAGAAGTCCAATAACAAAACACCGCTCGAGTTCAGATTAGGTGGGCCGTTCCTCCCAATCACACCCCTCCAGGTCAAGCTGTCATTGCCCACGTGAGCATTGAAGTCCCCCAGCAGGACAATGGAGTCCCCTGATGGAGCACTATCTAGCACTCGTCCCAGGGACTCCAAAAAGGGTGGGTACTCTGAACTGATATTTGGCCCATAAGCACAAACAACAGTAAGGACCCGTTCCCCGACCCGAAGGCGCAAGGAAGCTACCCTCTTGTCCCCTGGGGTAAACCCCAACACACAGGCAGAGAGTCTCGGGGCTAACAAAAAGCCAACCCCAGCCCTCCGCCTCTCACCCGGAGCAACTCCAGCAAAGTAGAGTGTCACACCCCTCTCCAGGTCTCGGGTTCCAGAGCCAATGCAATGTGTCGATGTGAGTCCGACTATATCTAGCCGGTACCGCTCAACTCCGGCTCCTTCCCCGCCAGCGAGGTGACGTTCCATGTCCCAAAAACTAGTTTTCTTGTCCGGGGATTGGACCGCCAAGGCTCCCGCCTTGGTCTGCCACCCGATTCGCATTGCACCGGACCCTTCATGTTCCTCCTGCGGGTGGTGGGTCCACAGTTGGACGAGCCCATGTATCCGGTTCGGGCTGGGCCCCGCCGGGCCCCATGGGCGAAAGCCCGGCCACCAGGCGCTCGCTCACGGGCCCCAACCCCAGGCCTGGCTCCAGGGTGGGACCCCGGTAACCCTCCGGGCCGGGTACTCCGACTCTTCGTTTTAACCGCCTTGAAAGATCCTTCGAACCGTTCTTTGTCTCACCCTTCACCGAAGACCAATTTGTCATGGGAGACCCTACCAGGGGCACTAAGTGCCCCAGACAACATAGCTCCTAGGATCATTAGGGCACTCAAACTCCTCCACCACGATAAGGTGACGGTTCAAGGAGGAGACAGATAAACCTAAACCTAAACCTAAAACACAAAAACTAAACCTAAAGACTGAGGGAGGGACTCACACCTACATACACCGAACAGGGGCAGGACATGCACACACACACACTCACACTCACACACACACACACACACACACACACACACACACACACACACACACACACACACACACACACACACACACACACTTACACTGAGTTGGGGAGGACACACACACACACACACACACACACACACACACACACACACACACACACACACACACACACACACACACACACACACACACACACACACACACACACACTCACACACACACACATACACTGAGGCCTAGTCCACACGTAGCCGGGTTTTTTAAAAACGAATATCCGCCCCTCCAAAAACTTGCATCCACACCACCTTGTTTTAAAAAAAACTCTGTCCACACGTACCCGGATAAATACGTTGTTAAGGACATGCCAGACCTGTAGGCGGCAGTACTTCCCCCGTTCTTAACCTCGTCCTTCGTCTGTGGTCTCCTGCAAGGAGCAGTAATTCCTCTTGCAAAAACAAACAAGCAGAAAGCGCTTGGACCATTGATAAAGCGAGCGCAGCTCTGAGGGCATCCATGCTGTCGGCTAGTGTAAACACAGGTCGCACACATGATGTCAGCATTTTTTTGTCGCGGAAAGTGACGTTGCGGACCTTAAAACGCTGGTTGTGTCTGTCCACACGCAGACACCCAAAACGGAGAAAACGCAGATCTTCACTTTGGCCCGAGTTTTTAAAAAGATCCGTTTTCATGTGAAAAAACTCAGTTTTTGTGTGGATGACAGGCCAAAACGTAGAAAAATATCTACGTTTTGGCAGATCCCCGGCTACGTGTGGACAGGGCCTGAGCTGAGGACAAAGAGGCTGGAGCTGACCTGGGAGGAATGATTAAAAAGGGTAACAACATAAGACACTTTAACTGAAACACAGACAAAAGACACATGAGGGCGCTATGAGACACAGAAGGGAATCTAGAGAGGGATGGAGAAACATCAGGAGACACATGAAGGAAGACACAGACGCAGACCATGACACTGTGAGGTGGGATGGATTATGTTGGTAAGGAAAAGAGCTCACTGACACACGCGTAGACAGATTTTAGAGTCATAGGTGTTTCGTGTTTGTAGAAAACCTTTCAGACGTTTGAGTTCAGCTCATGAAAAACGGGAGCAAAAACAAAAGCGTTTACATTTTCAGCCCCTGCAGTTTAGAGATTAGCATATTCTCACGGCTACCTGATAAACGAGACATAATCCCTGAACAGAGCGTTTTAACCCGGACTGAACACGGACATTCCCCTCTGCCCTTTAACCTGACCATTTCACATTTGATGTTTCATTATCTAAACTTCCAGCTACTCTTCAACAACTTACAACCGTTAAAAACCAGACTTCAGGTGTCTGCCTACAGCTGACCTCTGACCTGACCTCACCACCCACACGTTTGTGTTTTTAGCCAGAGGATCAGTCGGGGGTCGGACTGGGACCGCATCGACGGGTCGAGCTAATGATTGATGACAACAGACACACAGATCTGCTGCTTTTGCTCATGAGCAGCTTTTATTCTCTTTCAGCTGCTTTTTAGTTTGTCTGCTTTCATAGTTATGTCAAAATGAGACGAAAGTCCCTTTTTCTGCTCCTTCTCCTCCTCTTCTGCTCTGAAACGGTGAGTCCTCCTGTTGGAGTTGTGCAGGACAAAGTTTGTCTGCGTCGCTTAACGGCTGTCCTGACCTGTAATTACAGCAAACGCCACCATGGTTGATGGACATCAGCTGTAATATGTGTACGTAGTATATGTTCTCAGGAAAAGGTCAACAGGAGTTGATCAGCGAGGTAGATTCATGATGGTATTTAAGCGTTTGGTTTAGGTGGGATTTTATTTTCATGCTGTTTCTTATCCTTAAAGCGTTAAACAGCATTTTTAGTGTGTGGAGGACGCAGAAGACGTAAAATGTTCTAACTTTAATGATGTATTTTTATTAGCTTCTCGTTATTTATGACTGCTGTTGGGGGAAAACCTCAGAACTTCTAAAGTTTCCAGTAAATGAAACGTCTTTTATTCACTTTTCCACTGAAAAGCCACCCATCAGATTCAGGTGCTGAAAAACGGACACGATGGCTGAGCTCATGACTTCACTTACGTCTCTTAGTTATTCTAAATATCTAAATAAAAACGGGTGATGTTTGTCGTCAGATCTTCTTCCTGTACAAGAGAGCACCTGAGGCCACTGAGGCAGGTGGTGGTGGGATCCACACAGGTGACTCCAGCAGGGGGACGTAGCAGTTAGACGTATACAGTCAGGTTTGCTAGCATCCATGGAGCTAATGTTGAATGCTAGCATTAAAAACCGATACACTGTAACCCCGAATAAGTTCACTGAACTCAAAATTTATGAGGACACTGATTACCTAATAATTTTTAAGTTAACTTATCTAAAAACTATAAGTTTACCATAACTTAAAAAATATGACCTGAATAAAATCAAAGTATTTAACTTCCTCCAACCTATAACTTAGCACTTAAGCAACTTACAAAGTTTTATTTCACTAAACTTGCATATTTTATTTTATTAGAACTTTATTACATGTTTTTACTAACTTAAATATTATAACTTATATGAACTCTAAATGGACCTATTAAACCCTAACCCAAATAAGCTGAATTTACTTAAAGTATTAATAACAATGGGACGGCACAGCCGTACAGCATTACTTTGACCAACCTCCTCACTTATGGGGTCAACATGATACAAAAAGTAACACCACATCTGCAACACTGAATGAAATAATAACTGAGAACAACAATCCTCCACAATTAACATGCATAAACACCCCAAAATAGAGCAAAATAAATGAAAATATGACTACCCACAATGCACCTCCCCCACCAGTTGTTTATTGTTCCTGCAGTCCATAAAAATTGCTAGTTTGTGGTTTTTTTCCTGGAAATCCACAATTTAAAAAATACAAGTCTTTTTATCAGACACACTTTAGGGTTGACGTAAAGACGAATGGAATAACATAGAAACATAAAATAATAAATCAATCAATCATTTTTTTTGTTAATATTAATCATTAAAGTTAAGTTGTCTTTTATTGATTAATTAAAGTTAAGTTTACTTAACAAAAGAAATAGTTCAGTTTAATTAAAGTGTTTGAGTTCTATGTACTTAAAACAAGGAAAAAGTTGAACAAGCTCAACACATTTGAGTTCAAAAAACTTTTTTTATTATGAGTTTTATCTGCTCAATATATTTGATTATTTTGAACTTTTGGGTTTACAGTGTAAGAGTAAAAACTTTATTAAGCAACATCCAAACAAATACAGATACTTTAAATGCCCCAGATGGCCCAGGCTACTTACTGGAACAACTGAAGCAATGTTTACTTTTCTTAACAGAACTGGGCCAAGTTCAGTCCCCCTGCTGTGATCCCGTACACAGTTGTTGCTGGTTTTAGCCCTACACCACCAGCATGTGGTGGACTGGTGGCTGGTCAGCCGTGATGAAATGATGTGACGGTAAAACAGCTGGAGTGCAGTTAGCATTATTGCAACAGATGAAGATAGCAGGGTCCAGTTTGGAGTTAAAACACAATTGTTCTCTTTTTCAGGAAGATCTTCAGTGTAAAACTGACCTTTTAAATAAACGAGTGTTATCTGCGTAGCGCTGTAATATGCAGATTTAATGAGCTGAACTGTTCTCATCTGTCGGGTCATGATTGTGTTTAATTCTACGGTCGAGTCCACCAGAACCAGAGAGAACTCATAAAAGCGAGTTCCAGTGTTAGGTCATGTTAAAGTGCTTCCTTCGTCATAAAGATCATTAGAACTGGTGTTTTAGATCTGAGTTCAAACAATTCAACACCAGAGAAAGTGACCTTTAACCTTCAGGTATTAGACCAATCCCCTCTGGAAGAATTTTACTATATAACACTGAAGTGGTCGTTCCCGTATAAATTTTAAATGAGTGTTAGACTTGATTATGAAAGTGTCAGTGTTGAACTTTTACATTTGCTGTGCAGCTTGCAGGAAAACAAAAGCCTAAAAGAAAAACCACCACAACAGCACCAAAACCTGCAGCGACAACACCTGCAGCAACAACGCCTCCTGCAACAACACCTGCAGCAACAACACCTGCAGCGACAACACCTGCAGCGACAACACCTGCAGCTTTAACCACCAAAGCACCACACACTGATGAATATCTAGGAGAGTGCCAGAATAAAAGGTACACAAATATAATGATGATTGTTGGTGTTGGTGACATCATAAAGTTAGCAAGACATTTTGTTTTACATTCCCATTTGACACCCGGTCTGTAATCCTCAGGTTGACCCGGGACTCATGTGGCTTGGCGTTTTGCCTCCCTTGGCAGCGCTGCATTGATGGACAGTGCACCTGTAAACCACCCTACCAGTGTCCCATGGAAGGCATGAAACCCGTTTGTGGAAACAATAACAGGAACTACAGGTCCTTCTGCCAGGTAGCTCACCAAGCCCACGACTCCAAGACTCTACTGACTCGAGCCGGTTCCGTAGAAAACTGGTTCCCCTTATTTCTAACTCTGATGCAAAAACGTACAGCAGCAAAGTCGACGGCTGGACGATACAAACATCCCTGAAAAGATGAAAACTCACGTTGTTCCAACCCACCATGACCGCTGCTTTTGTGATCTGAGAGAAAATCGGCTTTTAGGGAATGTTTGAACTTGATCCCTTGAATATTAAACTTATTTTTGGGATCCACAGTGGCGTCCCAACTCCAACATTATAAACCACAACCTTCGAACATGTTTATCATGGGAGTAGGATTGGCATGGACAGAGGGGACGTGTCCCTACCAATATCCAGCGATGACCAGATAGTCCCCACCAATAATTTGACCACCTCTGCTAAAACACAACATGCCATTCATCGTCTGGTTAGCCTAGAGGTGCGGAAAAGGTTAAATGAAGTACTCTCCACAAGTCCTACCTCCATAACGCATATGGTGTCAGATTTATAAGTCCCCACCAATGTCAAAAGCAAATCTACGCCAATGATGTTTATGGACTTTGACTTGTTTTATAGGCGATGGCCCTCTCATGTCGGACCAAGAAACCCCTCTTTTCACATTTTGGAGAACAGTGCAATGGTTTGCTGACAGACACAATCAGAACCTTGTGATAGTTTGGGTATTCCCACTCATTAACAAGTTTTTCTTCATGTCCCTCCGACCACAGCAAATGTAAAAAAATTTGAAAGTTCCTTGGACTACGAGACAGGGGTGGTCAGGATCTTTCTTCCTGGAAGCACCGGACAGGGAGAATGGTTACTGGTCTGTCAGGACATGTGGGACATGGCGGCTGCTAACGTTGCCTGCAGGGAGAAGTCACACTCTTTGTAGGAATAAGTGTCTTTAATACATTTTAAATTATGAAAGGTATTATTGTCAAGCTAAAGACCAAGATTACGTTTACAGGGGTGCAGCATCTGCAGAAGCCAGGGTGTACAACGACCTGATGATCAACAGCGACATCACAAACCTTCCTGGGAGCTGCGTTAGCATCCGGTGTCAGGGCTACGAGACATCGCTGGCTGAGTGTGAAATCTACGACAAGGTGGACGCTGTTGACATGATGGTGGCTGCAGCAACCTGCTACATATCCGCAGGTCAGTGAGTAGATATTCTGGAACTCTTTGTCAGTGTATATCCTCAGCTAAGGGCTTGGACTCTCTCACAGAACAGAAAAACGAATGGTGCCTAAGCTTCCTCCCAGAGGTACTCATCCAACCATCCAGTTTGGTGATGAATGTCCACTCTAGCATGAAAGAGCACTGGACCAGAAGGATAAAGTTAGAACTAAGTGGATCAGGAACATGTTGGGTTCAGGTCTTAAAACTGAAAAGAACAGAGAAGGTCGAAAGGTTCTGACTCAGTCCAGTTCCATCAGATCCAGCTCATCCTCCCCTTAAACCCAACTGTTTGTATTTTGGACCGCAGAATGTGGCTTCACCTGTGAAAACACGAAGTGCATCTCCCTGAACCAGACGTGTGACGGAGTCGATGACTGTGGAGACCGGAGCGATGAAATGTGCTGCAAAAGTAAAGCGAACGCCACAACGAAGCGAGTGGAAACGCGTTTCCTGTTCCTCCCTGAGTGTGACTGTGTTTGTCAGAATGCAGGAACGGAGCGTTCCACTGCAAGACGGGCATCTGTGTGCATAAAGACGGAGTCGGTGACAACCAGCTGGACTGTCTGGATGGTGCAGATGAAGCCGTTAAACACACGACTGCAGGTAGGAAGCTAAAACCTCCCTGATCAAAGGGTTACTGAGCCGTTCAGGGGCGTGTCCAGGGGGTGGCCTGGGTAGCACATGCCACACTTGGAATCTGATTGGCCACCCCACTGAATTCCCGTTAAATAAACTTGTCTACAAAAAGCTTGGGGTACAAAAAAAAAACCATAATGATTGGTGCAACCAATGCATAAAGAAGTGCACTACCTGGGCCACCCCATTTTAAAAGATCTAGGCACGCCACTGGTGCCATGTAGTGTCTAGCTAGGACAGGAAAACCAAGCCAAAGCTACTTAGCAACCAAAAAACTTTTTACAAACTGAAGGGAAAAGAAACACATCTGTTTAGTAATGTTTGGTTTTGGTTTCTACAGCGTCTAATGATGCGAACCAGGCACGTGGACCTACAGGTAACGCGTGCTGAGATGTTTTATTAATAACTAGGCTTATGAGAGCTGGTAATAAAAACTGTTTTCTCTGTTTTCTCCCAGCTTATGTCTCCCGTAAAAACGGTACGTTACCTCGGCTGTTGCTGAACGCTAACTGGCCCTGAGAGACGTGAACAAAGGAACCGCGCCATCAGAAAACACCTAAAAATGAACTTCGCCTGTCTGTGTGCAGAAACCAGAACCAACAGAATGATTCTGGAGTCCCAGCTTCACTGTGGGATTCCCAACAAGACCTTTGAGGGCTCTGAGAACTCACATGACAGAGGACATTCCAGTCGAAGGAAGAGGGTGGTGGGGGGGGCCGAAGCCAGGCCGGTGAGTTGGGATCACTGCTACATCCAAACATCTTCTGTCTTTTTCTGGGATTGAGTCATCACAGTCAGCTGAAGCAGGGATGCCTCTGTGATGTGAGGAGCGGAGGTCCTCTAGTGAATGTTGAGAGACATGGAGGTAAACTAAGACCTGTTTGCCTGCAGACCCAGATCCAGTGGCAGGTTGCCCTGGAGGAGAACCAGAGGATCGACTGTGGAGGAGCGTACATTGGAGGCTGCTGGGTCATCACTGCTGCTCATTGTGTCAGGTACAGCCAACAGCAGGATGAAGACTCAAGGCAAACTTTTTATCGTTTCAAAAACGAATTTAGCTACAGCCGTGTTTGGGTATGCTGCACTGCATCATGGTCCAAGTTCAACGGGCTTAAACTTCCACTGCTGCAAGCTTTTCATTGCACCTTGTTGTGCCAAGCCACTTCTGCCTGTAGCATGCTATGCTAACAGATGTGTTTTATCTTGGTGTGGAAGAGGTGTCAGTCTGGCACCACAAAGCCAGTAGAAGCAGTGGCGGCGCCAAGGGGGCGCTATAGCTACCCCATGATTAGTCATTGCACCCCCAAGTAAATATTAGATTTTTTTTTACAATTTGATTTTAATTGAATGTGTGGATGTGATAATATTTAACATACAAAACAAAAATAATCAGTAAATTATCATATAGATAGTAAAAACTTAAACCAAAACCAGAAATTGATGTTAACCTTTGACTAGAGGTGGGAAAAATGATCGATTCTAATATGCATTGCGATTCAGCCGTGCATGATTCCGCATCGATGCAGCAACGTAACATAATGAGATTCTCTCCCTATGTCTATGTCGGGGGTCGGCAACCCGCGGCTCTGGAGCCGCATGCGGCTCTTCCATCCATCTGATGCGGCTCTCTGTGCTTGTAAAATAATGAATGGATATTTAAATAAAATGCTTTATATTTTACTGCATTAATTTTACATCTGTATGCCAATTCTAAATGTAAAGATTGTCTGCGTAAACCTGAACAGGTCCAACCCGGTTTTACTGTGAGACCGGGTTGACGCGTCACGCTTGTGCGTAATCATATCGGCGCATTCTGAGCTGACGAGGATGTGAGATTCTGGGATTCTCCTCAGACGGCTCCTGGATGCGTCGCCACATTGGAGACAGGAACAAGCGCTATTCAGCCAAAGTTTCATAATCAGGGAACATTTTCTAAGTGACAAGTCTCACTTCAGTGGGAGGAATCTTCCCGCATGCGCTCTGGTTCTGCGACGCGCTCCAAGCCCCTCTCCACATCTTCAGCTCGCTGTGGACCTTATGTAGTACACGCTGACAGTGAGCTGCGCTGAGCAGTGTCCAGCTCAGATGTTCAGATGGGAATCATTTCTTGAGTGATTTAGCTACATCTGCGATGTGCGAAACGAATAAAGTGTCAGTTCGTCTGCATGCGTCGGGGTAATTCTTTCTATTCTTTCTCCTTCAAAATAAACGGTCAAATACGGGAACTGTCCGGTCAACACAAGCCCTGCTTTTAACTGTTCTGTTTTCTTGTGAAAATAGATAAAATTTAACTTGATTAACACCAGAGCCAGGCGCACTGCACCGTTATCTCCGTCACTGTAAATGAGGGAAAAACAAAACGATCGGATCCTTCCCCACCTACAAAGTTTAATTACAACAATCAAATGTGACAGAGCCTGGATTTGTATTCTGAACAGTCTAAACATGTTTTTAAAAACAAACGTATGACAAAAGTGGCACCTGCTCAGTAAAACCACCAACAGGGTGAAAATATCTAAATATTGTAGCAGAGACGGGCTACAACTTCTGGATCCATTTTATATAAATCATTTTATTGATTATCGTCTTATGAAAGATAACTTTGACGTACACGAGCGACCGGTACTGGCTGCTGTCACCTGTTGTGAGCAGCTCTCTGCTGTCTGAGGGTAGGCCCCGCCCACAACGCCGCGGCTGCTGTGGCTCCCAGTGTTTTCTTTACTGTGGGAAACGGGTAATAATGGCTCTTTGATGGGAACAGGTTGCCGACCCCTGGTCTATGTCTATGCAGGACAATAAAGTTTTGAGGTTTTAAAACTACTTCTAGGGGCAGAGTTGCAATGACATGCGCACTGCGTTGCCCTATAGCGCCAATTTAAAACAGAAAAGGCGGACAGGGATACAGGGCCAACATTACCAGTAATCAAAGATGTACCCGTTACATTTAAATCTTAGATAAGGTTCGTAGCTTTCAATCTAGTTGTTCTCGTTCATCCAGCTTCTCCACGGGGGTCATGAAGGGATGGACATGGTCAGCAACAATGCTTAGGTAGGCTGTGGCATTGCAACGGTGATCTATGAGTACTAGGGGGTTCAAAATGTCCCACACCATTCCACCACCACCACCAGCCAAAGCCGTCGATACAAGGCAGGATGGATCCATGCTTTTATGTTGTTGATGCCTAATTCTGACCCTACCATCTGAATGTCGCGGCAGAACTCGAGACTCATCAGATCAGGCAACATATTTCCAATCTTCTATTGTCCAATTTTGAGGACCCTGTGTGAACTGTAGCCTCAGTTTCGTGATGGTAGCTGACAGGAGTAGCACCAGGTGTGGTCTTCTGCTGCTGTAGCCCATCTGCCTCAAGGCTCGACGTGTTGTGCGTTCAGAGATGCTCGTCTGCATACCTTCGTTGTAACGAGGGGTTATTTCAGTTACTGTTGCCTTTCTATGGCCTTCACTGGACAGATGTACCCAATAAAGTGGCCAGTGAGTGTATACCATCCTATCCAGACAGCCGAGCCACCCCAACAGGCTCCTCTAGATGTGAAAAAGCAGTAAAAAAAAGCCATTTCCTTGTTTGATGGTAGTTCCTGTCATGCTGAAGTCTTTCTCACTAATATGTCCCTGCAGGCCCAGGCCCTCTGCTTTCAGAGTCAAGTTCTCTCTTTGGAAAAAGTTTCGAGCTCAGGGAACGACGGACATCGTTCCCGTGGAAGAAATTCGTATCCATCCAAAGTATGAATCCAGCTGAAAAACCACATTAAAGCTAACATCAAGTAACTTACCTCCGGTGTTGGTGTGTGAACGCTCCTCAGCTACGTCGCAAGCACCTACGAAAACGACATCGCTCTGGTCAAGCTGGAGAAGCTGCCGTTCACAGACAAATGTCTGTTGGACAATCCCGCCATCAGACCCGTGTGTGTCCCCTGGTCCACTCACCTGTTCCAACCCAACCACACCTGCAGCATCTCAGGCTGGGGGCGAAACAAAGGTACGGGCATCAGCACGGACACTCAGACCGTGGGAACATGGAGGATGATCTGATCATGGTTGATGTTTCATGTGTGTGTGTGTGTGTGTGTGTGTGTGTGTGTGTGTGTGTGTGTGTGTGTAGAGGGGAAGGCAGCTCAGGTGCTGCTCTGGGCCAACGTGTCGCTCATCGCTGGATGTGAATCTTCCTACAAAGACCGGTTCAAGCCGGGCATGATATGTGCAGGTAGGTGTGTCCACAGCAGCTGAACCGAGCTGCCTCAGGGCCTAACGTGTCTGTGTTCAGGGGACGTGGACGGCCACGTGGACTCGTGTCAGGGAGACAGTGGAGGTCCGCTGGTCTGTGAGGACGAACTCGGGGTGTCCTACCTGTGGGGCATCGTCAGCTGGGGGGAGAAGTGTGGCCAGCCTGGGTTCCCTGGAGTGTACACTCAGGTAGATAGAAAGACACGGAGCGGCTGCTGCTGACTGGATCAGGAGTCAGACCTGTCTCTCCTCTCTGCTGCAGGTTGCTCATTACTTCGAGTGGATCAGGCTTCACACCGGATGGCCAGCAGTCACCAGGTTCAACTCCTAGCCCTGACCCTGACCAACACACACCTCTCACTGCTTGCGTGTGTGTGTGTGAGGCTTTGATACGTGGATCTTCTCATTTGCATTTAAATATAATAAAACACAGTTCCAGTTTGTCTTGTTAAAAGATTTGATTTCAATTCTTATTTGTTTCATTTCTAAAAATTTGTTTTCAAATTTAGTTTTAGAAGTGAAAGAGGTAATCTGCTGGTGATAGATTATAATCCCAGTGGTGTTCCCAAGGGGTAGCCAAGGGTGCCCTAGGACCCTTTCTAGAAAATTGCTGGGCCGCCACTTTAAACATGTCTTCTCCAGGTCGGGGATGAGGTCCTGCCTCAAGTGTAGCAGTTTAGGTATCTCGAGGTCTTGTTCACGGGTGAGGGAAAGATGGAGCATGAGATTGATAGGAGGATTGGTGCTGCGTCTGCAGTGATGCAGGTGTTGTACCGGTCTGTCGTAGTGAAGAGAGAACTGAGCCAGAAGGCGAAGGTCTAAATTTACCGGTCAATCTACTTTCCTACCCTCACCTATGGTCACGGGCTTTGGGTAGTGACTGAAAGAACAAGATACAAGCAGCTGAAATGAGTTTTCTCTGCAGGGTGTCTGGGCTCTCTCTTAGCGATAGGGTGAGAAGCTCAGTCATCCGGGAGGGGCTCGGAGTAGATTTGCTGCTCCTCCACATCGAGATGAGCCAGTTGAGGCGGCTCAGGAATCTGATTAGTGTACCTCCTGGACACCTCCCTGGAGAGGTTTTCCAGGCCCTTTTACCATACCATACCATTCCATACCATACCATACCATTCCATACCATACCATACCATTCCATACCATACCATATCATATTTATTTATAAAGCACCATTTCAAAATAGCATGGCAGCTAACCAAAGAGCTGTACATAAAAAGCAAAATGCTTGATCAAGAAACACATTAAGAACAGGCAAAATATATAAGAACAAAGCATAAATAGTCGGAGATAAAAATTCCTACTAAAAACAATAAAATAGGAGAACAGTCAACAGCACTATAAAAATAAAATAATGCGACGAATGATAAAAACATTTGAAATGACACAAATAAAACTAAATAAAATACCAGATGGTGCGAGGTGCCAAAAGTGAGCAACTGAATCATAAAAACGGAATTGAAAACTCAAATCCGGTGCTAGATTGTCATGAAAAGTGTCACAGAGGGAAGGCAATGCTAAAGAAGTGGGTTTTCAGGGCCGACTTGAAACTGCTAACAGAGGGAGCCAGACGCACATGGAGAGGTAGAGTGTTCCAGAGTTCTGGGGCTGCATAAGAGAAGGCACGCTCCCCCCGTGATTTGCACCGAACCTTCGGAACAACAAGCAGCAGATGATCTGCTGACTGAAGGGCACGGGTAGGAACATACGGGGTCAGCAGGTCCGTCAGATTGGATGGGGATGGGCAGTACAAAGCCTTGTAAACATATAACAGGACCTTGAAGTTAATCCTAATTTTGACTGGGAGCCAGTGCAAATCTGCGAGGATGGGTGTGATGTGCATGCGACTGTCGGTGTTGGTTAAAAATCTGGCCGCGGCATTTTGAACCTTCTGCAGTTTGCTTAAGGCTGAAGCATCAATCCCAATCAGGACAGAATTTGCGTAATCCAGACGTGAAGTAATAAAAGCATGAATGACTGACTCAAGATCCGGGCGTTTGAGGATTGACTTAAGTCGAGTGATCCGGCGGAGCTGGAAAAAGCAGGACTTGACTGTAGCATTGACTTGTGAAGACATTGAAAGGTCAGAGTCCAGTTTCACACCTAGGCTAGTGGCACATGGTTTGAGATTGAGTGGGAGAGTTAAGACATCTAAAGCACCATTCATGTTAGTGGGGCTAAAAAGTATGGCATCTGATTTGCTGTCATTTAACCGTAGGCAGTTTTGAGAAAGCCAGGATCTGACCTGGGAGAGGCATTCTGACATTATAGAAAATGAGTGCTGTTGGTTGATTTGAAGGTAGATCTGGCAATCATCTGCATAAAAGTGGTAGTTAACCCCGAGACTTGCTAAAATCTTACCAAGTGGTAGTATGTAAATTGAAAAGAGGAGAGGACCCAGGATGGAGCCTTGTGGTACACCCCATGGAAGTGGGACATTGGGAGAAGAGCAGTCTAAAACACCGACCATTAAGGTACGACTTAAACCATTCGAGGGCAGTACCGGTCACACCCACCCAAAATTCAAGTCTGTGAAGTAGGATGGTGAGGTCTACAGTGTCGAATGCTGCAGTCAGGTCTTGTAAGAGTAACAGCACATGGGAGCCAGAGTCAGTCAGAATCAGGATGTCATTGAGTACCCTAATGTGTGCAGACTCTGTGCTGTAATTACGTCTAAAACCTGATTGGAATGGGTCAAGAAGCCCACTGTCATCTAGGTGAGAAGTAAGCTGCGTGAGAGCCAGTTTCTCAACTACTTTTGAGATGAATGGAAGTTTTGAGATTGGGCGATAATTGGCACAGTCAGACTGGTCAAGGCCTGGTTTCTTCAATAGCGGCTGAACAATTGCATTTTTAAAAGCAGCTGGAAACACACCAGAGGAGAAGCTGCAAATGACAATATCCAAAACAGCAGGGGCCACCGCTGGAACGACATCGCGCAGCAGTCTTGGAGGAAGGCTGTCGTCTGGAGAGCCTGAGGGCTTCAAAGCCAAGATTAGATCAACCAGGGAAGAGAGTGTCACATGAGCAAAGCAAGAGAATGAGTGTGTACAGTGAGGTTCCACACAGATAACCCAGCCTGAGTAAGAGAAACCGGATCTGATATCCTGGATTTTATGCAGGAAAAAGTTTTGAAACTCATTGCAAAGAGCCCCTGTAGAGGGAGAAGAGTTGGGAGATTCTCTAAGGGACAGTACAGAGGTGAGGACACTGTACAGTTTCTTCTGGTCGTTTTTATGCCTAGTGATTATAATTGCAAAATATCTGTTTCTAGCTGTGCGGACAGCTTTCTGATAGCGGGTCAAAGAATCCTTGAATAATTGGTAGGAGATTTGCAGCTTGTCCTTCTGCCACCGGCGTTCGCAGACCCTACATTGGCGTCTTAGGGCACGAGTCTCCTCATTGAGCCAAGGGCCTGCCACAGTTTTTTTATGCCTGGATTTTAGAGGAGCGACTGCATTTAAAACAGTTGAGTGGGTAGAGTTGAAAGAGGTCAGCAGCTCCTCAACTCCTACACAGGTGGAATCAGGTTGGGAAGTGGATAGAGTCGCAGCTAGGCTAGATGCTAATAGATTGGTGGTGAAAGGGGAAATTATTCTTGTAAGGTGATGATTATGTTGCCTAGTGGATGGAGGTGTCAAGCCACAGATATTAAAAATAAGAGGAGAATGATCAGAGATACATGCAGAGTCAACAATCAGATCAGAGATACAGATCCCAAATGACAAAACCAAGTCTAAAATGTGCGATCCTGAATGGGTGGGTGACTGGACCTGTTGCTGGAGACCAAAACAATCTAAAATTTCTAAAAAGCCACCAACAAGAGGTTTGTCAGGGCAGCAAACATGTATATTAAAATCACCAAAAACAATCCCACGGTCACATTTTGGAAGAAAGTCTGTTAAACGATCAGAAAATTCCGATAAAAAGTTTGAATTGTACTTAGGTGGGCGATAGCAGAGAATAAACAGCAGTGGAGGACTAAAGTCCACCTCAAAAGCCATAAACTCAAAGCTGGCTGGAATCACTGGTATAGTACGTTTTTTAGGATGGAAAGAGAATCTGAACATGGTTAGTAATCCACCACCACGACCAGTGAGCCAGGGCTCGTTCAGAACCTGACAGTCTGAAGAAGAGAGCTCTGACAGAGCAGCTGACTCACCAGGAAGAACCCAGGTCTCGTTCATGCAGAACAATGTCACCTCATGCTGGAAAAAATAATACCTTAAAATGAGGGTTTTACTCCCAATTGACCGTGCGTTTAGGAGAGCTACCCTGAAGATCGGTGGAAGACCCGAATCAGCTGACCGGGGTGACTGGGCCGCTTGGGCCACCGAAGGATAGCAAAGGTTAGCTTGGTTGACGCCCCGGTGCATCCACGGGTTGGTGGTTGAGGCATTCCGGCGACCGGATTCCCCAGAGAATCTTGGACAGAGCGATGGAATGCGGAAGGTCCGATGATCTCCATGAATCAACTCTGGTGACAGGTGAGGTTTACATCCCATGCACGAACGGCCGGAGGAGGCTCTGAGCCGCACTTTGGAACCCCCGTGTTTGCCACGTCTGCGGCGTTTCCTTGGTAGCCACGCCAGGCGGGGAGAGCGAAGCAGCAGAGCTGGGACCGCCGTAAACAGCGGGGCGAAGGACCGTCTTAGATCTGAACAACGGTGATAGGCAAATCCAAGTTTATGCCGAAGTTCAAGAAGGGTGAGGCGATCATAGCGAAAATTTGAGCTACTATCCACCAAAGAGCAACACAGGAAAATAAAAAGCAAAAACAACAATCGGGAGAGCAGACGGCAGGCCGTGGACGGCGCCATCTTTCCGATCCACTTTTATTTCAAGTGGGTTGAAAACCCGTGTCTAAAACTTAGGGGTCGTGATGGATGCTAACCTAAAAATGGACATTCATGTCAGCCAGGTAGTTAAGACCTGTTTTTACCACCTGAGGCGTCTCTCTGAAGTTAAGCCCATTTTAAAAAGGCGTCATCTCCATTCAGTTGTCCATGCCTTCATTGCCTCCCGTCTCGACTACTCTAACTCAGTACTTTATGGTATCTCCTGCTCCACTCTCGCCCGCCTTCAGCTAGAGCAGAACGCAGCAGCTCGATTCCTGACTGGCACCAGGCAGCGAGAACACATCACACCGGTTTTAGAGAATCTCCGTGGGCTTCCAATCCATCTCTGGATAGAGTTTAAAATCCTGGTTTTTGTGTTCAAATCCCTCAATAACTTAGCACCTGTCTACTTGTCTGAGCTCATTCACCCTTATGTCCCTCCGATCAGCCGACCAGCACCTCCTCCAAGTCCCCAGCTCCCGCTGTAAATCCTGCGCCGTTTCAGTTTGTGCACCGAAGCTCTGGAACCACTTGCCCCTCCCGATCAGACTCTCTTCCTCTCTTTCCCTTTTTAAGTCTCGTTTAAAAACTCACTTTTACTCTCTG